GAAAATTCATCCACAACAGTTAGTATGTACTTGTTTCTTGTTGAAGATGGCAAAGGGCCCTTGAAGTCAATATTCAGTCTTTCAAAAGGTGCTGTTGCTTTGATTAATTGCCCTTGAAACTTACAGAATCTTGGTTTCAACTCGGCACACACCATACAAGATGAAGTCACCTTTCTTATATCGTCAAGTGAAAATGGGAGATTTTTTGTTCTAACCCAGTGATGGAGTCTCGTGACACCCGGATGACACAGTGAATTGTGAATGTCTTTGAGACTAAGGCTTCCTGTAACAGAACAAACTCGAGAGAGAGTATCTGCAGTTGAGTTCTCTACACCCGGTCTGTAAGCTATATTGTATTTGTAACACAAAAGTTCCATGCGCCATCTTTGGATTTTTTCATTTTTTATTTTTCCAGAGGCCTTGTTGTCAAACATGTAAGCGACCGACTTTTGGTCTGTGATTAACTGAAAACCTCTTCCTATAAGATAATACCTCCAGTGCTTTAATGACTCCACAATTGCTTGAGCTTCTTTTTCTACTATGGGATGTTTCCGTTCGGTTGGTGTCAAACTTTTGGAGAAAAAGGTAACGGGTCTTCCCCCTGGGATAGAGTTGCGCTCAGGGCATGGTCAGAGGCATCTGTTTCCACAGTGAACTGTTCTTCATCATCGATTGGAGACTTGACTGCTTCTGATATATCTGATTTTAGTTTGTGAAAGGCTTGGATGGATTCTGGTGGTAGAGGAAGGCTTTGATTATTACTGAATGCTTGTATTTTCTCCGAAAACTTAGGAATGAGATTTGCGTAGTGAGCAAACATCCCCATGGCTCGTCGAAGAGCTGCTATGTCCTTTGGTACTGGGAGTTCCATGAGTGGTCGGAGACGTTCAGGATCAGGTTTGATGGAACGATAAGATATCAGGTTCCCAAGTACGTTTATTGACTTCTGGCGAAACTTACTTTTTTCATTGTTGATCGTCAAATTATACCTGTGGGAAACCGCTATAAAGGCTTCAAGGTTCCGATCATGTTCTTCTTCACTGTCTCCCCCAATAGTAATGTCATCTAAATAAGCCTTAGTTTTTACTAGTTTTTCCTGTGATATGATTCCGTTAATGACTCTTTGGAAAGCTGGCACTCCGTTAGTTACTCCGAACGGGATTCGTTTGAATTGGAATAATAGACCATCTGCCTCAAAGGCGGTGTATGGTTTCTCACTTTCCACAATTGGTATTTGATGATACGCTGAGCTCAGATCTATGGTGCTATAAAATTTGTACTTAGCCACCTCGTTGACAATTGTTTCAATTTTCGGCAAAGGATATGCGTCTAGCTCAGTGAATCTATTGATAGTTTGGGAGTAATCAATAACCATCCTCTTCTTCTTGGATTCTCCCTTAACAACCAGAACTTGTGCTCTCCAAGGTGATTGACTCTCTTCTATGATACCCTCTTGTTGCATTCTATTAACTTCAGATTTTATGAACTCACTATCTTCAGGTGAAAACTGTCTCGACTTAATTGCGATAGGTCTGGTGGTAGTTAACGAAGTTGGGAGTTAAATTCGTGAACAACTGAATCGGTTCAATTCCAGCTTGAGCAAGGCCACATATCTTGAGAGTAGCACTGTTCCCACCAAATGTCATTTCAAGACTTGAGTGATTTCGTAAGATATCGTGGTCAATTATAACGTCAGCACACAGATTTTTCATGACATACAATTTTACGTCCTCATAAACGTGACCTGAAAGTTCTAACTTTACCAGACAGACCTCATTTATTTCAGAATTAAGTGATGTGGATGCCATAGCTACACTAAGTTTTCCAGGACGACATGGCAAGTTGTGATGTTGAACGAACTGTTTGCTGACAAAACTCTCAGAACTTCCTGTATCAATCAAAGCATCAGCCAGAGTAGAGTTTAGCTTAACTGATACTGTAGCTTTAGATAAGACCGGAGGGGATGAAGCACAAACACTTTTTGAATTATTATTTGACGGTGAACAAATACTAGCGGAATTTCCCCCCAACGGTTTAGGTCTATCTACATTCTCTTTCTTTGATCTACAGACGCGGCTGAAATGGCCAATTTTATTGCAATTATAGCATTTGAAGTTTTTTGCAGGACAAACATCACGCTTATGTCCGTTTTCTCCACAGAAATAACACTTCTGAGACGGTACTGCAGCTGAAAACAAAGTATTGTCCCCCAAATTTGCTTCGTTAAGTGATTGGCTTGAGTTCGCACTATTGCTCTCTGCGTGATTTGACTGCGTGATTTGAGTGGTGGCATTTAATCTACTGTTTAAGTACGACTCTGCTTGAACTTGAGCTACTTCGATACTCCTTGTTTGGTCAAAAGCCTCTTCAAGCGACAGTGTTGATTTCTCTAACAATCTTTGTCGTATATAATTTGATCGAAGCCCAGTGATAAAAGCATTTCTGATATTTTCACTGCGATTCTGTTCCGCCGTAACTGATTGAAAGTTACATTCTTTACTAGTGATTTTCAGTGCTTGGAAAAATTCATCTAATGATTCCTCAGCCCCCTGCATTCGCGTGGCAAGTCGATGCCGGGCATAAATTTCATTCTTAGGCTTTACATATAAATTTTTCAAAATTTCAATTGCTTCTTGGTATTTTTTGCATTCTGATATGAAGCTGTAAACGTTTGGTCCAACAAAGTTTACGAGAAAATTGAGTTTCATCTTGTCATTTGGTGCAAGCGTCAAGGAATCAATGAAATTGCCAAACGTTCTGTACCAGTATATCCATTCTTCTTGAGCATTGTTTGTATTAGGGTCAATATTAAGTTTCCCGGGCTTCAGAAGTTTATCCATTGTCTTCAGTTTGTTGATTAAAGTTGAGTTAGTTGATTAAATTGTAATGATAAACACCTCAGATTAATAAGGTTTTAATCAACTAAAACTGTACTACAACAAGTATCCTAACATTTAGTGTTTTGACTAAATGTAAACAAAGATTAAAACATGTGTTTTACAATACAATAGTTTTGAACAAATTAAACAAGGAACAGAAGGAAGGCAAAATATTTTGAAACACAGTATGATGAAAAAAAATGGTTGTTCATCACACGGACTAAAGTGTATTATTAGTACTTGATCGTATTTCCAAGCTCGGATGCGCCTTGCTCGTTTTTGCTAATATTCCCTATATGGGAAATTCGCTAAAATTAGTAGTAAATAAAATAGGATTTTAATTTTTATCATCCTAATCAAGTGTTATGATTGATTTTGTAAGACAATTAATAACCTCAACCACTTTTCTTGTGGTCTTAGATGATTAATGGGGCTAGAACAGCTGATGAAGGTGAGTGTTGGGGTGGTTGAGTGAAGGGTGTGAACACACTTGACCTAACTCCCTTAGGCCCAGCATCTCCACTTCAAGCAACCTTCCACTTGCCTACATTTCACTAAGCCCATCTATCTTTGTAAACTTACATGAATAATAAATGGCAGAATAACGACAATTGCAATGATAATTATTCAAATAAAAAAAACCCCTAACAAGTTACAACAACACCTTAACAAGTGGAAGATTAATATTTAAAATTTAATTGATTAGGGCTACTATTAGTATAAGCCTTCTTTAATATATTGGTTTAACAATTAAATCACTTTATATCACATTTGATTATTTTATATAAATATTATTTTTGGAAGGCACATACTAGATTTGAACATACAGTATTAGATGGTATTAGAGCTCGGCCCATGGTAAAAAAATCTATCAAAAGTATAGCCTGTTGCAAACTTCTCTATTTTCACCTTTACGCTGTAAATAAAACATGTGATTGGAATTTATACAATTTGTTTTGATTTTCTGTTTATATTTTGTTGTTATTTCGTCACCAAGATGGCAACCCACAAGGTTCATGTTAATTTTTCATTAATTTTTTGTGCTTATTTGTGAGCCTATTTTAATTTATAAAGGGATTCCGCTCATCTACAGGCAAATATCTTTCTAAAGGTATGCGTAGATTTTCTCTGAGATGCACAGGAGCTGAGAAAAAAGGTTTTAAATGAACATGCTTGTCTATTAATATATAAGGATTAGCCCCATGTTAAATCTCCATAAGAAAAGTAGGTTCCTATTTTTGACCCAATTAACATAAATATTTTAAAAATACAAATAAAACCTGCACATATAAGACCGATAACCTTTATTATGGAACAACATGTGTGTAATTCGGTCCAGTAGTTCGGTCAGGCTAGCTGTCATAAGTTTTGTACAAGTTTTTAAATATATAAGATAACCTTTCTTTTGGTACAACCAGCGTGTAATTCGGTCCAGTAGTATAGTCAGGCTAGCTATCATAAGTTTTACAAAAGTTTTTTTTTAATATACAAGATTACACACTTGTTTGGTGTTGACCAATGATAAATGACAGTAAAAAAATTGCAATTATTTAATAACTCTGATATAAACTCAAATTTATTTGTAATCCTGAATGTGAAAATATGTAAGTGTTGATCATCAATTAACAAGTTCAATAAACCTTCTGGAAGCTCTTCTAATATAATTTGAGAATAATTTCGTTCTTAAAGAGTTTATCCTCTAATCCTAGTTATTTGCTTAAGTCTTGAGACTTCAATATAGTGTGTTGAATGTCAATTAATTTGTTTGCACCTGTACCAAGAGATTAATACATTGTGATAATTAGGAATTAATCCAGATAGGCAGGAAGATGGCTCAGTGTTGGATTAATCTGGATTTGGGTAACCACTTCGCAGTTTCAGATAACGCTTGATTACCTGTATAATTACACGTACGTTATTCTAATTTGCTTCAAATCCAAGACTAGATAGACATCTCCATTTTTAGCCAAGATCAACCCTTAAGATACCCTTCTGCAATTTGTTTTAAGTAAAAGCCAGTTCATTTCGGTAGTGGCATAAAATATCTTTTCACAGGCCCTAGTTTAAAAAAGTGTTTAAAAATATTTTTTATCATAAAACTAGAGAAAGCTTTTTACTCACCCTCTTCTGTGGGCAGTTCTGAAACAAAGAAAACAAGTTTATTAGTTTTGTGTTGACCATTAACCCTATTTTGTAATACAGGTGGCTTGCCTTTAAATACTTGTCACCAAATGCTATCTAATAAGATTTATTATCCTTTAATTGACTAAATTAATTATGATGCTGATTATCTAATGTAGGGCTAAGTGTTTTTAATCATTGCACAAAGTTTTAAGTTCAGAAAAATACATGAATGAAACACGAGTTTGTAGATTGTGAACGACATCTACAACACCACAAATATATACATAAATGGGAGATAGTTGCATCGGATATTATATATCGAAACGACGTGAGAATCATCATTATTGTAAACTTGGTTTGACAAACAGTAATAATTTGCCAAAAAAATGTCAACCGAAAGTATGCATGTGGATTGCTGAGTTAAAAAGTTGTCAACTTGCCTAATGGTGTATCTGTTCAGCAATAAATGATAAATGTTAGACTATCAATATATATATATATATATATCTATATAAATAAAATTAGAGTTTTGTCTGTACATTGCTTAGAATAATGAACTTTTTGGTTATTTTTACATTTCATAGGTCAGAGAAACCGAATCAAACCTTATCTCAATTTCTGTCTGTCTGTCTGTCTGTCTGTCTGTCTGTCTATCTGTCATTCTCTTGGTAACGCTAAAATACGCACTTTATTACAACTACTCCTCAATAACTATAGCACTGTCCCGCCTGAAACTTATTTTCCAAATACTATACATATATGAGATGGTTTTAGACGTATTTCATCGAATATGAGACAGTTAGATATTTAACAGTAAACCCTTGAAAATCAAGTTTTTGTCGATTTTTGACGTGGAATTTCTGGAAGCCCATGTTAACCTTATGAGAAATGAAATTATTGAATCTTAACAGCTGTTTCAATTAAACAAGTTGGTTCTGTTCTGTGATGTTCAATAGCATTAAAGTTACAAGGATTACCAACAGGGTGCAGCACTAGCACTATTATTTCTTTTACATTTATGACAACAGCTAATTTGCAACCTGGAGGCGAGTGAGCGTAGCGAACGAGCTAACCTGAAGGCAAGTGAGCGTAGCGAACGAGCTAACCTGAAGGAAAGTGAGCGCAGCGAACGAGCTCCAACATACAGGTGAGTGAGCGTAGCGAACGAACTTCAACCAGGACGTGATTGAGCCATGCAAACGAGATCAGATAGTAAAAATAAAAGTAAGCCTACCGTTATAGGATCGACCGGCAGACACAGAGGTAATTTAACCTTTTATTGATTGTCATACCGATCCGGAACAACAAAAAACAACATAAAATGAAGCTATGTATAATAGTTTGGCCAGCATATCTTAAAATATGCAAACCAACTGCTGTTCTTTATATAAGAAGGTTTCAACTGAATATTATAAGATCCCCGTGCGTAGAACGGGTACACAGCTAGTATATATATATATATAAAGCTAACAAGGATAACAAACTTTTCAGAAAATCATGAGCAGCACATCTATCAACCACAAACTTGAATGAAAGTTCTTGATGTGAAACTTCCCTGAAAATTATCAGTTTTTGGATAAACCCTTTCCTCAAGGCAGGATCTCAATCTATATTATTAATAGTACCTGGGGACCGAGCTTTGCTCGGGGAAAATCATTAGTTTACTCTTAAAGCAGTCTTTGTTTTGCAGATAGATGAATCCATTCCCCACACTCCGCACTGCTAGCCTTTACTAATTCTTTCACAATTTCCTGTGTCGTGGACATGTTTCCATCCCTTCTCATAGAATTTCAGTATTGCAGATACATTATTCTAACTGCTACAAACTGTTTCCAGCTCCCACACTCCACACTGCTCGCCTTTTCTACTTCCTTCACCCCTTCCTAAGTCGCGGACTTGTTTCTCTCCAATACCATAGCATTTTAGGATTGCAGATACCTTAATCTAATCGTCATAAACAGTTCCCACACTATGGACTGCTCGCCTTTACTACTTCCTTCACCACTTCCTGCGTCGCGGACCTGTTTCCCTCCCTTCCCATAACATTTTTGGATTGTAGATACCTTAATCTAATCGTCATAAACAGTTCCCACACTCTGGACTGCAAGCCCTTGCTTCAGCACTTCCTACATCGCCGACCCGTTTCCCTCCCTACCCATAGCATTTTAGGATTGCGTATATCTTAATCTAATCGTCATAAACAATTCCCACACTCCGGACTGCTCGCCTTTACTACTTCCTCTAACACTTACTACGTCCCTGACCTGTTTCCCTCCATTCCCATTGCATTTTAGGAATGCAGATACCTAAATCTAATCGTCATAAACAGTTCCCACACTCCAGACTACTCGCCTTTACTACTTCCTTCACCACTTCCTGCGTCGCGGACCTGTTTCCCTCCCTTCCCATAACATTTTTGGATTGTAGATACCTTAATCTAATCGTCATAAACAGTTCCCACACTCTGGACTGCAAGCCCTTGCTTCAGCACTTCCTACATCGCCGACCCGTTTCCCTCCCTACCCATAGCATTTTAGGATTGCGTATATCTTAATCTAATCGTCATAAACAATTCCCACACTCCGGACTGCTCGCCTTTACTACTTCCTCTAACACTTACTACGTCGCTGACCTGTTTCCCTCCATTCCCATTGCATTTTAGGATTGCAGATACCTTAATCTAATCGTCGTAAACAGTTCCCACACTCCGGACTGCTCGCCTATAGGCCTACTACTTCCTTCACCACTTCCTACGTCGCGGACCTGTTTCCCTCCCTTCCCATAACATTTTTGTATTGTAGATACCTTAATCTAATCGTCATAAACAGTTTCCAAACTCTGGACTGCTCGCCTTTACTACTTACTCTATCACTTCCTACGTCGCGGACCTGTTTCCATCCCTTCGCATTGCATTTTAGGATTGCAGATACCTTAATCTAATCGTTATAAACAGTTCCAACACACCGGACTGCTCGCCTTTACTACTTCCTTCACCACTTCCTACGTCGCGGACCTGTTTCCCTCCCTTCCCATAACATTTTTGTATTGTAAATACCTTAATCTAATCGTCATAAACAGTTCCCACACTCTGGACTGCACACCCTTGCTACTTCCTTCGGCACTTCCTAAACCGCGGACCTGTTTCCCTCCCTTCCCATAGCATTTTAGGATTGCATATATCTTAATCTAATCGTCATAACCAGTTCCCACACTCCGAACTGCTCGCCTTTACTACTTCCTTCATCACTTCCTACGTCGCGGACCTGTTTCCTTCATTTCCCAAAGCATTTACGGTTTGCAGAAACCGTAATCTAGTCATCATAAACAGATCCCATACTCCACACTTCCACCCTTGACTACAATGTATCGAGTAATCTTCAGTATAATCATTGCTCAATAGTAACAACTGATCTTTTTCCTTTTGTACTGTATTTTTAATTTGCTAGTACAGTGGAGTCCCGATAATCCGAATTTCGGTAATCCGAAAGTCCGCTTAATCCGAAACCAAAAAAATAAATTAAAAAAAATATTTTTAATTTTTTAAAAATTTTTGATTTTTTTTAACTTTTGAAATTTTTTTGAAAACTTTTGAAATTTGTTTTAAAACTTTTGAAAATTTTTTGAAAACTTGAAATTTTTTTGAAAACTTTTGAAATTTTTTTGAAATTATTTAGGAATTTTTTTTAAATTTTTGTTTATTAAACTTTTAACACAGTTAGCTGTACCTCGTCAAAGTATTATGTAGCGGCCGGGCAAGATAGACTTTTTTGTTAAGTATTTTAGTAAATATTTCACAATCTTTGTTATTAACATTTTTTATTTTCGTCCAGGGTTCCAATCCCCCCAAATCACAAATGGATTTTATGAAGTGATAATGCTGCAGCCACTAGGTCTAAGTAATCTAAAAAACAATCCCAAAAAATTTCAAAAAATAAAAAAAAATTTCAAAAATTTCAAAAAAGTAAAAAAAAAATTTCAAAAATTTTAAAAAAAGTAAAAAAAAAAAAAAACGTTTAATCCGAAATATTCGGTAATCCGAAATGGGCCCGGTCCCAACCATTTCGGACTAAAGGGACTCTACTGTATACTGTGGACAGACAACTTGCAAGTCCTTTGTTTACTTTTTCCTTGTTATTTTGTTCAACCAACATGGTTACTTAGCAACCCATAAGACTAATGTTAAAAAAATGTGATTTTAAGTTTCATTTTTCTACGTAATTAGATTTTTGTTGACAGTTCTAACCGCAGTGAACTCGTTTTTAGGCCAGAAATATACTATTTACAACATTTGAATAAAAACGTTGGGTGTAGGTAGATGTGCAAACTGGCTTTAGATTTTCGAAATATATATTTTTAAGGGTGTGGGCTGCCCTCGAAGTTTCTTCCATAAGGATAAAATTGTGATTGATTTGAATGCTATTACATTCTGAAACAGGTGTCAATACATTTGTTTTCCATCAAAAATTAATACCAGCGGTTTTGTTTGGTTTTGATATGTAAAAAGTTTGCATGTTTTAAAAATACTTAGAAAGCTGGCAAAGGAATGTTGCCAATAATATAGGGCACGGCAGGAAAAAGGCTTACATTTTATTTTTGTTTGAACAAAGAAATATTGCCGGTCGGACACGGCGAGACAATATACGGCAAGCAATGCAAAAAGGAGCCCAGACGAGGAGCTGGAACAGTTAGTGGCAACGTGCACTTGCAAAATTGCACTCACAAATACAAGAATTCAGAAGTATTCACTTGGCGAAATGGCATTAAAATGTCAGAAATGTGATGCACTACATTTTAAAGAAGAACAAAGAGGACGAGGCAAAGGATTTTCATCCTGGTGCCAGAAAGGAAAAGTGAATCTACCGCCATACCGAGAAAGTCATTATATCCAGAGCCTACTTAATGGAGCAAATCATGTGAGCAAAAACTACAAAGAGAACATTAGATCGTACGACTCTGTACTCGCAAATGCAGCTATCACGGAATCTTAGAGTGCTATCTGGAGAAGAGGAATATGC